AAACTTGGTGAATAGGCCCGCTGTTTGTTAGCCTTGTATCATAGTATCTGGTCCAGAGAGGAAACAGAGCCACTGGTCCCCGGTTTGCTTCTGTCTTCTCTGTCACAGAGAATGCTGAGTCCAAATGGTACATTTGTCAGAATCTCCTCTGGGGCTTTCTTTTATGAATGATTTGGCTTCTTGAAGCTTCTGTCTTCTCCTTTTCTGTCTGTAAACGTGTTGTGGATTCTTCTGTTGTCCACCCTGCCCTAAGTAGCTGAGTAGCCTGCTTTTCACAATTGGTCTTTTTAGAAGAGCCATCTCTCCCCTTGTGTTAGAACCACTCTTTCTTGTCCATTGTATAGTGCCCCCAACATTCTGCTGACTCTTTTCTTTCTTGACTTTGTGCCTTCTCATAACCTTTCTCATTCCTTATCCTCATGGAGCACAGGGCTGCCCTGGACACTGTGCACCACTTACCCTCCTGAGCTCTTTCTCCTTCCATGACTTCCATGGCCCTGCTCCTTGCCTGTCTGACTGTGCGTTCCCCTGCCCACCATCTCCCGCCCACTATGTGTGGAAGTAGCCACGCCCCTGTCTCAGGCCGTCTTCTCTCCTTGATTGATGGTCCTAGCAGTTCCCATGGATTCAGTCGTCATTTTCACGTAGATGACTGTGACTGTATTTGTATTGAACAGTTTTTTTCTCTTCCTTGAGTCGTAGTCTTATCTCCCCAGCTGACATCTGGACACCTTCACTTGGATGGCCCATGAGAATCTCAGGCACAACGTGTTTATTTTATTTATTTTTTCACAGGATGTTTAAAGTAGTTCTTATCTTCTGACCTCAGTTCATCCCATCTCCAACTTCCGTTTTTGTTGTGGGCACCACCATCCTTTTAGTCACTCATTTTCTCCAACCTTAGGATCATCCTCTGGAGTGAGAAGAAAAAGTTGAGGGGATATACATGAGGAGGTTAAACTATATAGTCAGGGCAGAGCCAAAATAGCAGAGAAAAAGCAGGGATTCTCCTGAGCTCTCTCAGATTCCCCTTCAAATAACTTTAAATAATGCCTCAAAACAGATTCTGGAGCACAAGACCCACAAAAGGAAAGGGTGAAACAAATTTCCAGTCCATGACAACTTAGAAGGTTGGCAGGAAAGGTCTGTTGCACCAGAGAGAAAGTGGGGCACAGGCTGTGCAAAAGGAGGCCATGCCCCAGCAAACCAGTGGCAGACCTTGGGAGCGACTGGATCAGTGGAGGCAGTGGCTGCTTCTGGAGCATTCAGCCCACAGGTGGTAAGGCGGTTGGACAGGCACTGGGTGCAGGACTCTGTTGCATTGCCCGTACTCAGATCCTGCTTGATAGTCCCGGGGTGAGGAGGAGCACTAACATGCCACAGGAAATAGCGCCTTAAAAAACAGAGGAAGCCAAATGATGAAAGAGGCACAAAAACTCACTGAAGAAGAGGCCTCCTTAAAAAGCAGAATTGGCCACGTGGAAAAAGATGTACAAAAACTCACTGAAGAAAAGGCCTCCTTAAAAAGCAGAATTGGCCATGTGGAAAAAGATGTACAAAAACTCACTGAAGAAAAGGCCTCCTTAAAAAGTAGAATTGGCCAAAGGGAAAAGGAGTGGGTACGAAAGCTCACTAAAGAAAATAATTCCTCAAAAATTAGATTTGGGCAAGTGCAAGCTAATAACTCCATGAGACATCAAGAAACAATAAAACAAAACCAAAAGAATGAAAAAATTAGAAGAAAATGTGAACTATCTAATTAGAGATGCAACTGCCCAGGAAAATAGAACCAGGAAAGATAAGAATTATTGAACTACCTGAAAGCCATGACACACATAAAAAGAGCCTAGACATCACCTTTCAAGAAATTATCAAGGAAAACTTACTACAAGGATCTACCAATCACCTCCTGAAAGAGATCCCAAAATGAAAACTCCTAGTGATATTATAGGCTAATTCCAAAGCTCCTAGGTCAAAGTGAAAATACTATAAGCAATCAGGAAGAAGCAGTTCAGATATCATGGAGTCTCAGGATAACATAAGATTTAGCAGCCTCCACAGTGAAGTTCTAACAGGCTTGCACAACCTGTGGCCCATGGCCCGCGGGCATACTCAAGGTTTCGGGTGGCCCACAAAAAATGTAGAGGATGTTTTCCTCTATATTTTTCACGGGCCACTTGAAGACCTTTGGTGGGTCATAGGTTATGTAAGCCTGGCTTAGAATATGATGTTCCTGAGGGCAGAGGAGCTAGGATTACACCTACCCAGCAAAACGGAATATAATCCTTAAGGGGAAAAAAATAGGTATTCAATAAAATAGAGGACTTTCAAGCTTTCCTGATGAAAAGGCCAGAGCTGAATAGAAGATTTTATTTTCAGATACAAGACTTAAGAGAAGCATAAAAAGGTAAATAGGAAAGAGAAGTCATGAAAGATTCAGGAAGGTTAAATGGTTCACATTTCTATACGGGAAAGTGATACTTGTAACTCCTAAGAATTTTCTTATTATCAGTGCAATTAGAAGGAGGATACAAAGATACAGAGAACATGAGTGTGAGTTGAATATGATGGGATGATTATTTAAAAAATAAAATTAAGGGGTGAAGAAGAGCAATGCACTTGGAGAAGGGGCAAGGGAGAGGTAGAATGGGGTATCTGATATAAGATCTGATATGAGAGGTGTGAGAGAGCTTTTACAGCAGAGGAGAAGGTAGGAGAGTTCATAAACCCATGAACCTTACTCTCATTGGAATTGGCTCATAAAGGGAGGAACATGCAGACTTAGCTGGGTATAGAAATCTATCTTACCTTCCAGGAAGGTAGGAGAGGAAGGGGATAAGAGAAGGGGGGGGGGGAGCTGATAGATGGGGGGGGCAGATTAGGGGAAGCAGTAGCCAGAAGCAAAACACTTTTGGGGATGGATAGGGTGAAAGGAGAGAGAGAGTAGGATAAACATGGAGGAAATAGAGTTAATACAGTTAATAATCATACCTGTGAAAAATTTTTACAGCAAGTTTCTCTGATAAAGGCCTCATTTCTCAAATATGTAGAGAACTGAGTCAAATTTATAAAAATAAGAGCCATTCCCCAGTTGACAAAATGTTCAAAGATATGAACAGTCAGTTTTCAGACAAAGTAATTAAAGCTATCTATACTCATATAAAAATGCTCTGCAATCCCTATTGATTAGAGAAAAGCAAATTAAAACAACTCTGGGATGCTACCCCATACCTATCAAATTGGCTGATATGACAGAAAAGGAAAACAACAATTTTTTTTTTTGTGAGACAGTTGGGGGTTAAGTGACTTACTTGCCCAGGGTCATATAGCTAGTAAGTGTCAAGTGTCTGAGGGCAGATTTGAACTCAGGTTCTCCTGAAAAATGACAAATGTGGTAGGGAAAATTGTGATACTGATAAACTTTGGTGGTGTTGTAAATTGCCTCAACTATTCTTGAGCCATTTGGAACTAGGCCCAAAGGGCTACAAAACCGTGCATGCTCTTTGATCCAGTAATAGAGCTCTTAGGTCTGTATCCCAAAGAGTTTAAAAAAAGAAAAAAAAAGGACTGACTGGTACAAAAAAATTTACAACAGCTTTTTTTGTGGTGGAAAAGAATTGGAAATTGAGGGGGTGCCAGTCAGTTGGGGAATGGTTGAACAAGTTGTGGTATATGATTGTGATGGAATACTGATACTCTCAGAAAAACTTGGAAAGACTTAGATCAACTGATGCAAAGTGAAATGGGCAGAGCCAGGAGGCTGTTGTACGCAGTAACAGCCACATTGTACAGTGATCAGCTGTAAATGACTTAGCTCTTCTCAGCACTAGGGTGATCCAACACAGTTCCGAAAGACGTATGAGGAAACGTGTCGTCCGTCCCCAGAGAAGGAGCTGATGGCGTCTGGACGCAGATGGAAGCGCAATTGTTGACTTTCTCTGTTCTTCTTTCTGTTTTGTTGTTGGTCTGTGTTTTCTTTCACAATGTGACTGATATGGAAATATGTTTGGCACAATTGCACGTGTAGGGAGGGAGAGAATTTGGAACGCAAACATTTTAAGAAACAAATGTGTAAAGTTGTTTTTACATGGAATTGGGGAAATGTTTTTTTTAAAAAGAAAAATAATAACAACAAAAAAGTATGTAGTCTCTCAGGGTTCTCTCTCTAAATCCAGTAATCCTGTAATCCTCTGTTGTAGGACCAGCTCTCACCATGAGGTCTAGGGTAGACAAAAGAGGCAGCTCTGCAGGGTGCCACACACAGAAAGATCACTGCAAATGACTTTGTACTTATTTAAAGGGAATCATGTTCCCTGATGTGGTCCTCCCCTCAGGGCTGCATATTCTTGCCAACTTCCCCTCCTACCCAGACTCCTCCTCCTGTTTCACATCCTCCATAGAAGATCTACCAAGCGCTCTGAAGGCCTTCTACTTGTAGGCCTTTTAATATTCAATGGGGAGCAGTATAGAATGTGGCTTCCTTCACTGTTGATGAATGACTGGCCCATCACATTTTTTTGATCCTAATGATGCCTGTCATAGCATTTCTTGTGCTCATGTCATTGAAAGCAATGTGTGATGGCTAGTCACACTTTCCATATATAATCTCCACTTCCCTTTGGGGAACTCAGATTCTGATTCTTCGGTGGTTGTGTTTTTCCTTGACTCACAATAATGAAAGGTAATTTTCATAAGTGCATGTTTTTAATAGCAGAAAACCCTACTTTGCTGCATCACCTCTGGGTACCTGATTTTGTGATAAGTCAGGGCCTACATCTTCAGTGAATGGACAGAGACAGCCCCCCGTTTGTAGAAAGGCCTTGTCTGGGCTCTTCTTTACCCACAGGGTTCTGAGCACTGCCCCACATGAGCTGACAACACAGGCCTTGTCAGCCAATGCGTGAATGCATGCATATCACACTTTGTGATCACACTGTGATTGGTTAACGTCTCTCTAGCATTTCTTGCATGGCCACTTTTGTCTTTGTGATCTCTCCTAGGAAAGATTGTGTCTTCACCATCGACCCTTCCACAGCTCGAGATCTGGACGATGCCCTCTCCTGCAAGCCCCTTCCTGATGGTAGGACAAATCTTTCCTGATGTTATACCATCCTGTTTAAGGGGTGGTGGCTCACCAACTTTCACTGTTACCCTGTGGACTGATACAAGTATCTGGGCGGCATGTATCATAAATACAGCCAAATGGGTGACATTTCCATCAGAGGCCTCTTATACATCCTGTTTGCATTGTTTTTCCTCCTGGGCCTATGGAACTCTTCTTAGAATGGGAATGACCTTTCTGATGACTTCAGTAGGTAGCAGTAAGGACAAAGGTCTCGTGTGCCAGTCTTGAGGAAATGTTGCCAGTGTCCTTGTATTCCCTAGGGACTCTCATTCCCTTTGATGCCTGGACTAGCTTCCTAGTCTTGATGAAGTTCATGAGGATCCAGTCCTTTAGGACATGGAGGATCAGTGGACCCCTCAAGGCCCTCCACTCTTGCAGCCTGCAAGCCCCTTCTTAGCTTGGGAATGAATATGTCCAGAGTGAGCTGTATTTATCCCACCAGGCCTGCCCTCACTGGGGCTGTGGCCCTGCTGGCATAATCTCTGGAGATCCCACGTAGCCTCCATGCGTCAGAGGACACAAGGGTTACGATAATAGTCACCTAGCTTTCTAGCACGTTCAGGTTTATAAAACATGTTTCTCATAGCAGCTGTGGGATAACGGGGAGCCCAAGTGATCTTACTCCCATTGCAAAAATGGGCAAGTTGTGGGTCACATTGGTGAATAACTTGTATCTGATGACCCAGCCAGTAAAGGATGGTGCTGGGACTCAGGCCCAAGCCTCCTGACTCTAGGTCCACCCTTTCCATGCTTTGTGGAGGTTTAAGAGAGTAGAAAGCAGGGCTCGCCTAGACTTTCTGTGACTGGTTGCTATTGCAACTGAAGTCCACTGGCCTGTTGCTCTGATGGTTTTTCCCAGGAGATAGTTTGTAAACACTTGAAGGGGAGATTGGGCAGTACAACAAAAGAGGAACTTTCTGAGGGCACTTTTGCCAGGACTTGATTTAGAAAGGTTTCAGCATGAAAGCAGATACCTGGGCAAAGCAAGGATTCAAACTTAAATGGTGATGGTTTCTAAGAACTTTCAGCTGGACTGTTAGAAACCGTTCTCACTGATGAACATACGTCATTCAGAAGTGAGAAGATGGGGAAGTTTTCTGAGCAAACTTTTGGATGCATTTGGCAGTCAGTGAGATTGAAACTAGCCATATTCTTGGACAGAGGCTCTGTGGTTAGGAGAGGCCTAAAAGTGAACAAACACAAACGTGGCTGAGCTGGCATCTGCTTCTTGAGCCTTTGTTTAGGTTTATATTTTCTCTGATAGCTGATTCGACTGCTGTCACATACTTCTGAATTGATAGATTCATTCACGTCAGAGTAAATTTCAATCAGCAAACATTCATGTGCCAGGCAGTGGGCTAAGTGCTCGGGATGCAAAAAGAAGCAAAAGACAGTCTTTGTCCTCAAGAATCTTATATAATCTAATGGTGGCCAGGGATGGAGAGGGGGGTGGGAAACATGCAAACAAATATCTACAAAGCAAGCTTTGTACAGGATTAATAGGAAATAATTAACAGAAGAAAGAAATAGAACTAAGAGTGTTGTAAAAACTTGCTAATAACAAGATGGGATTTTAGTTAGGACTTAAAGGAAGCCAAGGAAGTCAGTAGTTGGAGGGGAGGAGGGAGAGTGCTCCAAGCATGAGGAGGAGGGACAGCCAGAGAAAATGCCCAGAGCCAGGAGATGGAGGGTATTGTTCATGGAACATCCACACCGGTGTCACTGGGTGGAAGAGTGTGTGGTGGAGAGTAAGATATAAGAAGGCAGGAAAGAGAGGAGAGGGCCAGGTTATGAAGAGCTTTGAACGTCAAATGGGATTTTACATATGATTTTGGAGGCAATAGGGAGGTTAGACTAATTGAGTAGGGTGTGACATTTGAACCTATGCTTTAGGAAGATCTTTGGTGGCTGAAGGGAGGATGAATTGGAGAGAGATGTGAGGCAGGCAGATCCTCCAGCAGCTCAGAATACTAGGTGTGATGTGATCATTATTACAGTATTGTTATTACCGTGTACAGTATTCTCCTGGTTCGGCTCACTTCACTTTGTATCAGTTCACATAAGTGTTTCCAGCTTTTTCTGAAAGCATCTTGTCATTTCCTATAGTATGATAATATTCTATCACAATCATATACCACAACTTGTTCAGGCATTCCCCAGTTGATTGGCATCCCCTCAATTTCCAGTTCTTTGCCACCACAGAAAGAACTGATGTAAATATTTTATACATATAAGTCCTTTCCCCCTTTTTTTTTTTTAAATCTCTTGGGGGAGACAGATCTAATAGTGGTGTTACTGGGTTAAAGAGTATACACAGTTTTATAGCCCTTTGGGCATGGTTCCAAATTGCTTTCCAGTATGGTTAGATCAGTTTAAAACCAACAACTGTGCATTAGTGTCCCAATTGCCCACATCTCCTCCAGCATTTATCATTTTCCTTTCTGTCCCTAGGCAATCTAGTAGGTGTGAGGTGGTACCTCACAGCTATTTCAATTTGCATTTCTCTATTCAGTAATGATTTAGAGCACTTTTTCATAGAACTTTAAATAGCTTTGATTTCTTTGTCTGAAAACTGCCTTTTTGTATCCTTTGACCATTTATCAATTGGGGAATGACTTGCATTCTTATAAATTTGACTCATTTCTCTATTTATTTGAGAAATGAGGCCTTTATCAGAGAAACTTGCTATAAAATCCCCTCCCCCCTTTCTATTTTCCCTCCAATCTAGGCTTCCTTGGTTTTGTTTATTATGCAAAACCTTTTTAATGGAATAAAATAATAATCATCCATTTTGTGTCTCATAATGCTCTCTATCTCTTGTTTGGTCCTAAATTCTTCCCTTCTCCATACATGTGACAGGTAAACTATTCCATGCTCCCCTACTTAGCTGATGGTATCACATTTTATGTCAAAAACATGTACCGTTTTTGACCTCATCTTGGTATGTGGTATGAGATGTTGGTCTATACCTAGTTTCTGCCAAACTGTTTCCAGTTTTCCCGGAAGTTTTTGTCAAATGCTACTTTCTTGTCCTAAAAGCTTGGATCTTTACATTTATCAAACATTAGATTACTAAAGTCATTACCTACTGTGTCTTGTGTACCTAATCCAGTCCACTGATCCACCACTTTATTTTTCAGCCAGAGCCAGAATGTTTTGTTGATTACTGCTTTATAATATAGTTTGAGATCTGGAATATCTCGGCCACCTTCCTTTACGTTTTAAAAAATTAATTCTCTTGATATTCTTGAGCTTTTGTTCTTCTAGATGAATTTGTAAAAACCTCTATAAAATCCTTTTTTTTTTTGGTAGTTTGATTGGTCTGGCAACAGATAAGTCAATCAATTTAGGTAGAATTGTCATTTTTAGTATATTGGCTAGGCCTACCCATGAACAGTTAATATTTTTCCAGTTCAGATCTAACTTTATTTGTGTGAAAAATATTTTATAATCGTGTTCATATAGTTCCTGGATTTGTCTTGGCAGGTAGACTTCCAAGTATTTTGTATTGTCTGCAGTTATTTTAAAAGTTATGTCTCCTGCTGCTGGACTTTGTTGGCAATTATTAGAAATGCTGATAATTTATATGTTCATTTTCTATCCTGCAACTTTGCTAAAGTTTTCATTATTTTCAGCTAGTTTTTTAATTGATTCCGTAGGATTCTCTAAGTTATTCCATCATATCATTGGCAAAGAGTGATAGTTTTGTTTTCTCATTGCCTATTTTTATTCCTTCAGTTTCTTTTTCCTTCTCATTGCAATAGTTGGCATTTCTAGTACCATATTGAGTCATGGTGGTGATAATATGGCCATCCTCGTTTTACCCCTGATCTTTTGGGCAGGCCTCCCAGCTTTATCCCCATTCTAGGTAACGTTTACTGATGGTGTTGGACAGATACTACTTGTTATTTTAAGGAAGGCTTTATTTGTTCCTGTGCTTTCTAGTTGTTGTAGGCTCTTCATTCTGAAAGAGGACCAATGACGTCAGGAGGGCGATGTCTTGACTTGCAAGTGAATTGGATTTCAGCGAGTCAGAGCTGGGCAGAGCTATCAGTCTCACTCTCTCCTCCAGAGCTTTGGGGATGGGAAGGTCTGCCAGCACCATCGGTGTGGGCAGATAAACCAGGAGCGGCTTAGAAGGACCGCAGTGAAGCTAGTTTAGTTCACTTCAGGCAGTTCCCCGTTGGAACTCACGAGAACGTTCGCTTTGTTTTTGTTTTTTTAAACAAAATAATGTTTCAGCTCTTTATGGCCTAGTTGCATTTTTAAGGCAATTTTTATTTAAATAAAAAATGTGTCTAGGTCCTATCATCTGGTGTTGAATCAGGCATCAGGATAGCTCTTGTAGCTGATGGGCAGGCATTGTTGAAGCCAGGCTTTCTTGATTCTTCTGGTGACCAGATGCAAGGCCAGAGCAGTCACTTTCCCTGGTCTTAAGGGAAATGCAGAACACCAGCATGCAGACCTCAGTCACTCATGGAGCAATGGGTCTACATTTCTCCTCTTGTCAGAAACACGAGAGAAGTTTAATGACTCATGGGATTTGGGCTTGGAAGGAACCTTTGTCCAGCTCTCTCTCTCATTTCACAAATGAGGAAACTGAGGCCCAGAGACAAGAAAAGTTACTTATGCAAAGCCATGCCTTGTAGCAGGGGGTTGAGCTGGGGCTGAACCCTCTCCTGCTGCACTACAGCTGCATCCTCTTGGCTTCTATGCTGTCGTGCTCTGACTTCTCTTCATGAGCTACTTATTCTCATGGTGTCTGTCATATCTTATGCTCTCTCCTCCTTTCTTTCCTCCATCTCCAACTCCTGCTTTGCCCTTTTGGGTGGAGTATACTCCTATTTGGGCAGCCAGGTGGCACCGTGGATGGAGTGCTGGGCCTGGACTCAGGAAGACCTGAGTTCAAATGCAACCTCAGAGATTTACTAGCTCTGTGACCCCGGGCAAGTTGC